TGAGGATTGATCTGCTTACCTTAGCTATAGCCAGTAAGACTTTTTTAAAAGGCACCGTAATAGATTGCTGGTCTTTACTTTCTTAATCTTTTCCTAACCAATAATGTTAGAGAGAGAGCCCAGACCATCATTTCTTTGAAAAAATCATTCCTTTGAATGCCTGGTCATGTAAATATAGATGTTGTGGGAAAGTGCTTGCAGTGTAACATTTTAAGAGCATAAATATTTATCTAAATCCAGTTTAATGAAATTCTGCAAAAGTATTGGGAATATTAAATGAGATATTAAAGACTATGGTTTTAAATATAATGGGTGTAATGCATTCTTTCAGGGAAATATACTTCTATGTATAAAGTATGTCCTTGAGGGTAAATGACTATATATTTGAGTGGTTTGGGGGGGTTTGTTGGTTTTCATTTGTTTGGTTGGTTGAGTTGGTTTGTGGGGTTAGGGGGTAGAAGGAGATGCTGAGCGCCAGTATCTACCTAGATCCCTAACCTTAAAAAAAAATACATGCATAGTTCTCTCTACAAGACTTTTTTTTCTAGAAAATGAGCTAATCTTCAATAATAAGAAAGATCTTTTTTGTAAAATTATAACCATTAAAAGAGTTTACACAGTTAAACCATTTGAAAGCAAACACTGTGTCCAGGACATTAAAGGAGATCCTTTTTAAGGAGGTTGTTGTGGTGAATTAAAATTAAAAAAAATGTCTGGTGTGGGGACCACAAGACATGAGTGGGCTACCGAGGCACATTTTTCCATATAGTTAATGAATTTATCTGTAAGTAGTACACAGCCTGCAGTAATACCCAATGACTCTTTTTATATTAAATGATAGGAAAAGTATTCCAGCTAAGTTGAGTAGACCCAATTGTACCTCCAAGGTTTAGAAGAGTCAAGTGGGATGGCAACACCCGGAAAAAACATTTGGGGCTTTTATTGTTACTGTCATGAACAAAGCACATCTCTACATTGGTTAAATTACATGAATAAGTCCAAAGTAAACATTATTCTTTCATGCTGGTAAGGACAGGTTTTGCAGTCTCTGATATAGAGCTGTGATTTTTCTACATAAATCCTCCAAAATCCCTTTCATACACAGGAAAGGCCTTTAAATAATTTAATGATAAAATCTGTACACTTCAGATGTTTGTGATAAATGCTTCCGGTAATATCTTTGAGCTCTCTCTCTCTTCCCCTGTTCTCCTGTAGTGATATTACTATTAGCAACTCCCAGCATTACAGTAACTTTGGTGATAGCAAATTATGGGCCTAATTTTCTTTTCATATTAGTGGAAATCTCGAAGAACTTTCACGACGCTGAGTAGGTGAATAGAGACCCTGGCTCTGAAAAACCAGTCACGGACGTGAGAGATCTGCAATAAGGAAATACCAATAAAGGACGCATATATTTGCTCAAACACAGCCTATCCTTTCTATGATGTTGCTGTCTTTGCTTATACTTTACCTTGGTTAAAAATCTGAAGGTTGAGCAACAGATTAAAAAGACAGAAATGCAATTTTTAAAGAGTTTGCGCAACGTTTAAAGCAGGCAGAACAACAAACTTTGAACTTTATCATCCTTTATATATTTTAAGTAGACGGTCAAGGCCTAATTGTTTAGCAGGGGTAACGAAGCATGCCTTTTGCTTCTGTTACTAGTAAATGAATGTGAACATTTTTTTTACAATATGGCACTGAAGCCCTGCTCCTGCTGCCACTGAAATAAGTGGCAAGTATATGGCACTGAAGACCTGCTCCTGCTGCCACTGAAATAAGTGGCAATATTTCCATTAACTCCAGAAGTGAAGTATCAGGCGTGAAGTGCGTTCCATGAACTTTCAGCTTGCTGTGTGACGGTGTTATTTTTGTGATATTAATATCGATGGCGGGGGTTTCAATACCCATGGAAAGCTGCATTTTTCTCTCTCAGCTATGTTCTCCCAGTCTCTTAAGTTGAATCTGGTTATTTATCAATTATTAGTTGGGTAAAATCCTGGCTTTTGAACCTTGTGGCTCAAGTAACATTTGAGACCAGCCAAATATAGCATCTAGTAGAAAGCATGATGCAGAAATGTAATGACCAAAACTGCAAAAACACTAACATCTGCTGAATGAAGTGTGTAAAATAGTCACGCTTTAGCAAAAGAGGATGACTCTACTTCACTGACACATTTTTTTTTTAGTGTTTTTGAATTGAGTTAGATGCCAACGTCTTGATCCTGTGAAATACAGAGCATGCCCGCTCCCCATGGGAGGGGGGACAGGAAGGGGGTGGTGGGGTAAGAGTTAAGGTCATTCAGCATCTCAAAGGATTGTTCCTGTAGGAAGCATGGACCAAGATTTTGTTTTCAAATTCAAGTTGATGCAGTTGTGTAGATACAGTATAGGTGATGGGATTATACTCAGTTCAGCTGCTCGCCAGGGCAGGGGATAAGGACATCTTCAGCAGACGACCAGCAAGGTTTCCCAGGGCTGGAACAGGTTGTGGATTTAAGGTTACAGAGTGGAAGGGAGACGGTTTCTTTAAACACACTTGGAGTTGTACTTTAAAAAAAAAAGATAAAGCCTTTAATTAGGGAGCACAGATGATGCTGACCAAGGCAGGGAGGTTTAAATGACCCCACTGAACAGTCGTGGGGCGACGGGGATTGCTGCTACATGATCAGTAGATTTGGCATGGGAAGTTTAGACTGGAATCTGTTGAATTTTTAATAAGTTACTATCTGCATGAAATGATCACCTGGATGCTCTGATTTTTTTTAAAATTATTATTATTTTATTCTACTTTAACTAGTTTTGTTCTGTAGGTTTGTTGTGACCTTGTGTTAAACACCATAGTGAGAGGTCTTTGTTCACTGCACTATCAAAGCATCTGTTTTTCACTGGGACCAGTAATTTAAAATAAGCACTGAGTGTATTTCTAATTATGAATGGCATAGATGAAATATCAAACACAATGTTGTAACCACATCAATTCACAGTCACTTTTTTTTGTCATTTCTATTCCTTCCTGAAGTTAAATCAAGTAAAAAGAATCTGCTGGATATCAGTCTAGATGTGAATGCTCCTGTACTCCTTTCCCTGTCCCTCCCCCCCCACTTCCTTCTCCTCCAAAGTTTTGTAGGAAATTACTAAATGTAACTTGTCACAATATGTACCTTCCTGGCTTTAAAAAAGAGAGTGTGTTAAGTCGTAAGTAATTATAATAATTATAGGATCAGATCAACACAGGGTTCAAACTGTATAGTGTCTCAGTACTTTAATTCTCTCCTGAATTTTTCTGTGATGTCTAAATTTCTTTGGCCTGTTAGCAGTGGCTTTTTCTTCTCCCTGGTAGCACTGAGTAGCTGTTTTAAGCCTTTCATAAACTTGAGGCTTTGCCTGGCCGGGGGACATTTCCCACCAGCCGCCATCCCTGCAGCTGCGCCAGTGCAATCCACCATTTGTACAACTGGGGCTCACCCCAATTTGAAGATGAGATAATGTCCAGCAAAGATAATCTTGGCTTTCCTTTTCAGCACTAGAGATTGCAGTTAAATTGTAGTTGCATGGAAATTGTAGTTGAGGCAAACCCAACATAAGCTAGGCCCTGAACTGCTGAAACTCTTTAAACTTTCTTTGCTACACCCTGAATTGTTAAAACAATTGGTAAAACATGCAACTGCAATCTTTTAAATTGAAAGTTCTTGCATTGTTAGGTCCTGATCCTGCCCATAGACACATAAGTAACTTTACTCATGCAGTTAATAATATTGGCAACAATGGGGCTACTTACATAGTTTATAGTTTCCAGGGTCGGAAGGGACCGGAGCAGATCATCCATTCCAACCCCCTGCCCTGGGCAGGAACGAGTGCTGGGATCATAATACCCCAGCCAGATATCTATGCAACCTCCTCTTGAAGACCCCCAAGGTAGAGGAGAGCACCACCTCCTTTGGGAGCCCATTCCAGAGCCCGGCAGCCCTAACCGTAAAGTAATGCTTCCTGATACCAAGCCTGAACCTGCTCTCAATCAATTTGTGGCCGTTATTCCTTGTTATCCCAGGTGGTGCCTGGGGGACCAGAGCCTCACCTATGATCCGCTGGTCCCCCCCGGTGAGTTTATAGACAGCCACTAGATCCCCTCTTGGTCTTCTCTTGTGGAGGCTGATTAGATTCAGGCCCTTTAGTCTATCTTCATAGGGCCTGGCCTGCATAAGTATTTGCAAGAATGGACCTTTATTTTGTAATAAAAAAGGATCATCTGGATGTGTTTATTGGACATTGTAGTTTGAAATGTTGAGATGAAGAGAGATTTAATCTGTACCCATATCCAATAAGCCATTTGGAAGTCGCTTCTCTAATTAAAGAAGGAGCCCTTTGTTTCCAGCACCTGTTAAAATTACTCACCCATATGAAGGTTGCAGATTTGAAGCTTTATTCTGTAAAGAAGTACCAGGTGATTTGGTGAAAAATATAGCTAGCAAATGCAGGTTGTTATTGGAACCAGGAACCATGCGTCTTGCAAGACTCAGGAGTTATTTATTCAGGGTAATCCTAACCCCAGCACTTTGGGTTGAATGCCCTTGGTTAATTTGTTGTCATTGCACTTTGCAATACAGCCCTTTATCTTTTCATATAGACTGCTATACTTCATCTGATTTAATAGAACCGTAATTTTAATTATTATTATTACCTTGAATTATAATTCAGTTTGTCGCTTAAATATACATGTGAGAAAATAGTTACAAATGAAAACAGAAATTAACTGCATTAATTTTTTTCCTCCCTGCATCTTAGTATATGCTCAGAGCCAAAGACTAGCATGACCTACTTTACAACAATAACGGAGGAATCAAGCCAGGGTTTGTTGTTTTTTTTTTTTTTTTTTTTTTGGTTAAAGTGTCTAAATTGGCCGTGAATGCTACCTACTCATTCATTTATCAGTATCTTTAAAAATAGCAATTGTATCTGTGAAACTTCAAGCAGTGTTTTTCCTTTTTATCTTTATCTAGATAATTAGCACCATGGAGCCTCAGGTGTCGAATGGCCCTACATCCAATACAACCAATGGACCCTCCAGCAACAGTAGAAACTGCCCTTCCCCCATGCAGACAGGGGCTGCCACAGACGACAGCAAAACCAACCTCATAGTCAACTATTTACCCCAGAATATGACACAGGAGGAGTTCAGGAGTCTGTTTGGGAGCATTGGTGAAATCGAATCTTGCAAACTCGTGAGAGACAAAATTACAGGTATGCGCTTACGTATTTTGGACGTTGGCGTAGCTGGCGCGCGTTTCGGTTTTACATAATCTTCTAGACAGCCCAAGTTCTCAGTCTTTCAAGTATTAATGGAGTTGCGCATGGTGTCAACAACACAATATATACTGGTACTGTTTGTGTCCAGAATGGGAAATGTGGAAACCAGCCCAGTAAATTTCCTGCAGGTGGGATACCTTCTGTTTTCAAGGGTGCCCATTGTATATAGACACGCTGTAGACGTTTATTCTTATTCCAGCCCTCATACAGAACTAGAAAAAACAAACAGCCAAGATTGATCTGAAACACATAACTTCTGTACAGTTACAGAACCCATTTTACTTAGCATTGGCTTTCCTGATACTCTTCCATTTTAATTTACTTGCACTTAATTGTACAAGGATAATCTATGCTTTTGACTACAGGTTTATGTTTGTAGGTTTATTCTCTGAAATGGTTTCTTTGCTTGAGCCCTTTTTTCTCATGGAGTAAGCCCTGTTGGTAGAGCTCTCCCCCCCCATGATTCAGAAATAAATCCCTCCTTAAGAGTCGAGATTCTGCATCAAAACGAAGAGAAATACGTACATGCTCTCGTAGGAGAGGTCCGGAGAATTGAGCATGTTCAGTATGTCCTTGCTGCTGACGTGTTGCAGCCATAGCTAGTAACGGAGCAGTGCACAGCACATCATAAAAAGAGGCTGCAGAATAAACCAGCAGCTTTCCAGCAGCTTGTGAGAGCCGTGTGGCCTGATTACTTCCGTTCAGAATCGGGAGTGATTGAAACGTTGACTGTTTGGTGCTACGCAGCTGGGGATGCGCAGGATAAATGCACGGCCATTATAGCCACACCCGGCCTTGTCTGGGAACCACATCTGCGTTCCCTGATACCCAGCCAGTCGCAGGATGTTGTGCAGGGAGCAGGTTTGATTCGAGTGTGCCATGCTCAACCCTTCGTAACGATCCTGAGCACCTTTCCTGCTATGCTGCCTATTGCATATGGGCCTGCACCCATAGGAGACAGCACCCTGGAGATGCTCTGATCCATTTTCCTTAACTTGCAGCAAAGAAATCATCAATCCTTGAAACAGAAGGATTCCAAAAAGAGCCATCTTTTATAAAAATGCATGCTTGGAGACCTAAAGTGAAAGATGAAAAATGGGCATGAGCGCTGTATAGAGAGAGAATGAAAAAGTGAGGCATGTAAAATACATATTTTTATATATAATTTTAGCATTCCTGTAACCCTTGTGCTAGCAGTATTTGTATCATCCACCTAGTGCTCTTTAAACACAAACTGTTTCTTTTTTATTTACTTTTTGACATGTAACGGCTTCAAGTTCAACACCAAGGCACAGAATAAATGGCAGTAGCCTAAGGGCAGATCAAGTCCTCAAATGTGTAGTCCAGCTGAGTTCTCTTTTGCACATTGTCCATGATGCATCTATTTTAATACGTGCTTTTGATTAGGACTTGACTTCAGGTGTATGAAGGGGTAGAGGCATCTTGACTTTCTTTACTCTTTTTTCCCCCCCTTTATTTGATTTAAACCATGACTTGTTCCATTGGTTTAAGAGCAGAGCTGCAAGTGTGGCAAAGTACCTAGTGCTATAATACATTTCCCTGGATCTTTGTCCTCATGGCTGTTATTTAGCTAAAAAACAATTGTGTTTCTTTCCGATCAAAAAAAAAATAAAAAATCCGAGAAACTAAAATTACAGCTAACTTCAGTTGTTTTGAGCGAGTAGACAAACATTAGAAGTTTTGAATTTTTTAAAAAAGCAAATGCTACTGGAATGAAGTACTTCTATTTTGGACTTTGATCATGAAAGAGTACTTTCCAACTGCTACAAGGATATTTTTTGGTTGCTTGGATAGCTCAAACTATGTGGTACTCTTCTTTTAATATTGTCACGAGATACTTCTGTTACTTCTCTGCAGGGATGGGAACCCCTCTATTGAGGGAGTTTGTTAAAGAAACGTATTATTTATCTCTTATGTATTATTTATCTCCCCTGTATTTCAGTCTGCTTCAAGGGCTCGGTTTCTTTTTGAAGAATCTAACATTTTTCCTGGATTATTCCTTGCGATCATTAGAAATCTTGGGCGCTCGGTTTTTCAGTATGGGTTCAGGGCTGAAATTTTTCAAAAACGCCTAAATGGTTTAGGAGCCTGTGATTTCAAGAGTTTTTTAGTTACTTAGGAGCCCACGTTTTGTTGCAATTCAGGGGTACTTTGCAGCTTAAGTGTCTCAAGGCGCTTTTGAAAATGGAAATTAGGCCCCTTTGAAAATATTACCTTCCGGTAATTTTCCATTGTCCCAGTCCAGTCGCGTAGTTTCAGGTTGTGGAGAGGACTTTATTCCAAAAGGTTCCATTTTGCTCAACTCACACATTTTGGCGTATCTTCTGCATTTGATTTCCTCGCTGCTTTGTTGCTGTGTAATCTGCCTTGCGGCGATGACCGATGCCACCACACCTCAACCTTGCTTTCTGGCTTCAAAAATCCCTGAGAGCAAGTGGGACAATGAAGGGTCCGATGGAGCAGGTGGAGGTCCTGGTCTCTAGGGGAGTAGCATAGACGCCTGGAGAGCCATTCTCCAAATTCAGCAACATTTCCTTCACCTTGAAACCTGGGGAGCAGCAGAGGTTAAACTGCTGAATATAGACTCATCAAAACCTGGAGTCATTTGGCTGTCGGTGCTGATCAATAGCACCACCCAAGAAGTATGTCCTTAGAAGGCATGAAGAATCAGTATTTTCACCCAGAAAGGCATTGACAAATAAAAAATACATACAACAAGACCCGATCTGTATAGCAGACCCAGTTAACCAATTTGATAGACTCTTGGCCCATGTGAACAGCAGCAAAATACAAATACAAAAATCAGACTTGAAGTGCCTTTCGAAATCATTCCATGCATGTTTTATTATAGGGGCGAGGTCCTGTAGGAACTACCTCCTCAGTAGGTATCTTCTTTTTTATGAGCAATCATGTACTTTGGAATTATTTTTTTGGAGGTGAAGGTGTACTACAGAATAAAATTAACTGTATTGCACAGTAGATTCTCATGGCTCACTTGTGATCTGAGCTCAGAAACAGGCATTTATTTTCAGTCCCATGTGGATATTGGCTGCTTTTTTTCAGATTTTCCAGTTTGTGGAATGTATGTTAATTTTTGTTTCACAAAAAATGCAAGGCATCAGTCATCTAGAATGCGTTTAAACGAGCGCTGGCGTACTGTCCATGAAAATATGGACTTTCTGCATACACATATTCTGCTTTCTGGTAAAGTAAAAAAATGTGACCATAAAGGAAAGCCTAAATTTGGACTTAGTTAGCTGCAAAGGGACGTTTAAATGAGCGCTTGAAGAAAAATTAACAGGGCACGTTCTAAATGTAGATCTAAAATTGTAAGCCTAGCAGGATAATATTATAAAATCTCCAAGGGGGGAGGGGAGTGCTGACAAGATTTAATTGGTGCAAGTAAAATATCTAGTTTTCCCCATTCTGTTAAGGAAATGCACAGATTTTAGCAAGATAATGTTTAGACTCCCAAGATATTTTTTTTTACCAGGAGTTCAAAGCTAAACAAAGTCTGTTAAACATACAGGATCCTCCTGAGAGAATTTATGTTCAGGATTGCTTTATCATTATTTTAAATAGGGATTAAACAGTTACTATATATTAACAATAATCATCTCTTCCACGTCTTCATGCAGGTCTTTCAGAACAGTAGTGAATTTAAAAAAACCCCCAAGATTCCTGATGCTACCCCTCGCTCTAGAGAGACATATGTTTAAACAAGCATATTCCTTTACTGAAAAAAAATGCTAATTTGGTACTACACTGAACTTGAGTTGAATAGGAATGACAGCTTCTAAGACAGCCTTTAATTTGGTATTCAAAACCAAAATTGTAAACTTCAGTTTTGTTTGGTAGCTTCTCAGAGCAGTCAGGATATACAGTAGCATTTTTAAAAGATGCTAATGATTTGAAAGAGGAGATATAACTCAGGCATACATCTTAATTATGGGGGAAGGGTAGCCATTGAAAAATGTATTTTAGTTGCAGTGAATTTAAGGGAATGAGACAAGGAAAAGCGGAAAGACCAAAGATATTTTCCTTCCTTTGGCAGAGATGTTTAATAAAAGCAGAACTTGTGGTTGTAAAATGTGCTTATTAAATTCTTCATTTACACTACCTAATTAATTCTAGCATTTTAAATTAACAGTGAAACTGGTCCCTGCTGTACCATTTCAGAGCTACAGCATATTTCGTCCAACAGCCCAGTTGTTCAGGTTTAATCAGCTGCTCTCCAAAAATGAAAAAGATAGAACTTGAGTTAAAAAAAAAAAAAAAATGGAACAAACATTTTAAAACAATTGTAGATGAAAGGGAGATGGCCTTATAGGTGGAAGCTGTTGCTGTAAATCATTGGTTCTCAAACTTCTGAGGGTCACGCGTCCTTCTACCTTTTTTAATATCGTCTAGGCATCCCTCTGATTCCATGTTGCAGATAATAAAAAGAGTCATTCTTTATGTTGCCAGAACCATAGTGTGCACTCTGCAGTAATCAAGAGAGAGTGTCAAGATGTGCTACATTTTTTCCTCCTCGTTTTGATTTCCCCTTTACCTTTTCTACATTCTCATTTCTTCCTCTCATGTACCCTCTATCAGTGCATTGCATGCCTCGGGTATTCGTACCCTAGTTTGAGGAACACTGCTTTTTTTTTTAGAAGAATTTGTAAGCCAGTGGTTAAAACCGAGTTTAAATTAAATCGAATTGCAGATTCTCCCTGTTTGTTTGATCTGTCTCCAAATGGAGGTAGTGGAGAAACTCTCATTTACTGTGCTTACCCAAGTATAAGACAACCTGGAATATAAGACGACCGACACCCCCCCCCACACCCCCCCCTGTAATTAGTTTGTATATCTGGAAAATTATGAATTTGTTATAATGTTCCAGGTATAGAAAGTAAGTGTTGGAGGGTTAT